TGGCACTGCTTACACCCTCATTTGACATTCTCAGACCTGTTCTCGCATGTTCAGCTTGCTCAAATCAACAACCGGTGCTCCTCGCCCACGATCCAGTGATACTTCGCCCAGCCACCATGGACGCGCAGTGGCAGCAATACTACTGGAATCATTATTTGATGCAGCAACATCATCAGCAGCTCACCAACCCGGATACCACAACTTCTCCTCCCACCACCACACACCACGCCTACAGCCCCACAGGCACCTATGGCCCACTCACCCACGCACTTCGTACACACCACGTCCACCACTCCAACCCGTATGTGACTCCACCGTACACACCGCCGTCGCAGCACACACCCCCACCACAGGCATCCACCTCACAGCCGGAGTTTCCACCTCCGCCACCGCCACCCCTGCCTACGGCCGAACCCGTCACTCCACCACCATCGACGTTCCAACACAGCCCACCGCCACCACCCACCGCACGTGGCAACGCAGCGCCTGCCCCACCACCCCCACACATCCCATCCCCCACACCACCTGTTCCCGACTCTTGGAACCCAACCGAGCAACATTGGGATTCCAACACGCTGCACGGCCACCAACTACATCGTACAATCCAACCCACCCAGTGGTCTCGAAAAGCAGGCGTGGCAGGACTCCCCACCTTTGAAGTTTTCCCGTGGCAATTGGCTTACCACGGCACCTCCGAGTTCACCGCCCGTACACTGAGCAACGGCAAATACACAGGTTTTATTGCCACCAGAAGCATAGCGGAGTCGGTCTTCGTGACCCATTTTCTCCAACAACTCCGTGAGAAGCGCCTTGACCTTGACGGCATCGCGGAGGCCCTCCACACCCAACAGAGCACAGACATCCCCAACAAAACCACCCATGCCCGAGCGTTTCACGCTCCCCTCATCAAACTACTTATCGACCAACTGCAAACCCACTCTCCAGCACCTGCGGAAGGCTCCGCTCTACGCGCCCTAAAAAACACCAACGACGAACTGGCTCGTGCACGTCAGAAACTCCAAGACCTGGGCAACCCACTCACACCAGTCAAGAGCACCAGCCGATCCTCCGCACCAGCCGCCCCCTCTCACGCGCCCACTCCACCACCACCAAAACCACCAGCCCTCACCGACGTCTTGCAACCACCACACCCCACGCTGCAAGACGATATCCCCGAAGGCTGGAACCACCCAGAGATCCAACAATGGGTCACTACTTTCGACCCCACCATCCAAGAAGCTGCCAAGGACGTCGTCCGTCTGCTGCAAACAAGCAAGGTCACCACGCAGCAGCTAAAAGAAGCAGCCACAAAGTATGGCCTACCCCTCAACCGGGTCAACCGACTCCCCATTCGCAGCCTACAACAGGTGGTGGGTGTTGGAGCAGCCATCGGTTGCTGACTCGCCATCCTTGCCCAGCAGCAACCCAGCCACACCAACCTCACCCAACTCTTCCACTTGCACCGAGCACTCTCTATGCTCATTCACCGCACCCAATACATCGACCGTGCCGAGGCCATCTTTGCAACCGGCCTTATCCATATCACCCTCCTTTTCGCATACCCTTCCAACACCCGTCGCTCACAACAATGGCGCAACCGTCTCCGCCAGCTCCACATTTTGCCCCACACCTACCACTACCACAACTTCCTCTCCTCCAATTCAGTCTACATCAAGCTCCACTTCAATCCCGACCAGCCCCAACGCTGCTACCATCAGCATGGCCACTTCTATGTTGGCTCCACAGCTATTGGCATCCCTCACCGCGGGCACAATCGCCGCGCCAAACTCAAACAACTCCAAAACAACATTCCCATTTCTGCAGAACTCTCCTTACGTTATTGGCATTCACACAACAACATCCACCACTACACCACCATTCAACTTACCTCCCATGACACATATGACCAAGCCTGGATCCAAGAGCACCACTACATCGCAAACTGGATGCCTTCGCTCAACTGGCCTTTCATTTCCCACCACCTCAAGCTCAAAGCCCAGGGATGGCAGTTCACAAAACACAGAGCCCACTTCTACTCCAGATTAGCCACCCACAAACGACTTTTCAGACGCCTTCGGCAACGCCAGTTCACCCTCAGAGAACCACACCTCTACACCTCCACCAAGCATCACGCCCTCCAAGTTCTTCGCAACCTTACCAAACACACCGCAGCCTCCTTTGAAGCAGCCAAAGAGCTACGAAGCGGCCGCCACACGGACCTCGAAGTCTATGCAATCCGGCGCATGGCCGCAAACCTGGAAGAACCTGGCCGCAGCCGAGCTCTCCACATCCTCAACAAAGCCCTGATCTACCGCAACCTCACGCCACCAAAACAAAACATCCCATTGACAGTGCCCTTCTTGGCCCATGACGACTTTACTAAGCACTGCCAGCAGTGGCTTCGTACTACCATCCAGCAGCACAAGCAGTTCACCATTCCCCTCCACCTCCCCTCCCACAGACTGAGAGAAGCAGCCCACAAAACCCTCCGCTCCCACCTGCATAACCACCGCCCATGGGAGGACACCCTCCACTCCCCGCCAGATCCAGCAGACCTCCCCTGTGCACGCGATCACCTTCGCACCCTCTTGCAGGATCCCGATACCCCCACCATCAACGGCCACTACATCCTTACACTGGACCAACTCCAACTCCCTACACACCTCGGCATTTTTCTCAACGCCAATATGAACAGCACCTATTACCCAAGCAAAGCTCGACACTTCCTCATTTTCAAAGACGGCCTACACAAAATGGCTCAAACTACAAGGGCTTCCACCATCCCTCGTTCAGCATTTACAACCATTCCTTGAGCACCAATGGCGCCTTCACAACACACACCTCAAGCAACAACCCCGCTTTACAGCTCGCCTACTTCGCCAACTCCAAGAACATTTGGGCAAACACACATTACTCCACCATGCCGATCATGAGCTCCAACAACTTCGGCTGTTTTGCCCTCGCCAATATTTCACTGGCGCCTTGAACACCTGGCAATCCCCCGAACTTTTCGAACCGCTTCCCTACATCACTGCCGCCAACATCCACGACCACCTGGCCGCCACTGTCCCCCCCATCCTGCGCAATCGCTACAAGTGGGGCTTCCGAAAAGACTTCAACATTCCCTACGGTGTTGTCCACCTCAAGGAGAAGAAGCACTGGCAAAAAGGCCGTACAATCATTTCATACTTCCAATCACTTAGTGGCAACCTGCTACGCATCACCAGCCGTGCCCTTGACATCATCCTCCAACACCTCTACCCTCAACATCCAGGCCAAATGTCCATTCCCCAGCTTTGGCACCACTTTCACAGTTACCTCACCCAAACCCCACCAGACATCTCACTACACGCCACCAACGATGACCTGGTCGGCTTTTTCAACTCCGTTCCCCAGCACCGACTCATCGACGCAGTTCACTCCCTCGTCCACCACTGGCAACAACAGCAATCCACACACACCTTAACAGTGGATGTCCAGGCCACCGGCAATCCTTTCCACCACTCACACATTGGCAGACACCATCAGAAACACCCCACCCAACGCACCATCCAGACTTCCGACATTACCACCATCGTGGCTTTTGCCCTCAACACATGCATTTTCCGGGCTTGCAACAATACTTACAAACAAATCCGAGGGGCCGGGATTGGATCCCAGCTCTCTCCAGCCCTATGCAACGTTGCCATCACCCTCATTGAGCATTCCTGGCATCAGATCCACAACAACCTCCTTCGACACACAGACCTCCACTTTACTTACTATCCCTATGTCGACAACCGCTTCATTGTCCACAACGAACATTTCCTTCAACACCCAGCTATCCAAACCCTCATCCACCACAATTTCTTTGGCGACCCTGTGGAACTAGAACCGGTGGAGGATTTTCATCTCCTCGGTTTCAACATCGACCTCCCACAACGCACCATCACCTACATGCAACCTTCTCAACCCTGGAAAATCCGGGATTCCACCACTGCCGGGAGCCAGCGCTTGGCTCTATCAGGCCTCCAATCACGACTTCACACCATTAGAAAATACACATTTCCACCCTCCAGCGCTGACGCTGCTGCGGCCGAACTCGTGAATCTATATGTCCAAAAGGGGCATAACTATCACGCCTGCCACCGGTTTTTGAAAAAAGCGCCGAACGCGGCGACCTGTGTGTGTCCACCCCTGGACAAAGGGTCTTCCACCACCACTTTTTCCATGCTTTTCAACTACCTTGGACAACCACCGTATATGGGCAGGGGGCGACAGAGTCGCTGCATGGCTGTCGCCAACGAAGCTCCATGCAGTTGACTAGGATATCACGGCTGATCACCGTGACGTACCTGCCACAGCAACCTTTGACCACGCTGTCTAATCTGCCTGGTTTGTTTCCATGGTTCTTCATGATACCTTCCCCCTAAACCACTTCCTCCCCAGCAGCACTGCAGCTTGAGCCGCTTCGTCACCGCAGTCAAGGGAAACGACCTTTGTTCAAACACCTACAATTTTCTCGGACCTTTCGCCATGCTGTTCCACCACCTTCCTTCCCAGCGGAGAGATTGAGCTTTAACGGAAAGCCAATGTCGAAGTGTGCACGAGTTCTAGCCTGACCAGACTGCACAGCTTGATAGACTTTGTGGTGGGGAAGTAGCGGTCGGGCGTCTCTTTGACACGGCGAGCAGCTAGAGAGAGAGAGAGAGGTTCTCACGCAACTTCCGAAGGCAAAAGAGGAGGGCTTTTTCCTTCAATGACCTCAGATATTGGTATATAAATATATACACATTATGCTACATATGCCTCAAGACTCAAGGCATGAATTTGTCTTGCGCAAGCACTCTCCTGTATGCAAATTACCAGTTTAGTCACTTCACAAAAGGGGAGGAGAGATGTCATCTCGTAACAAGAAGCTACTAGGGGCGCCTGGCCTTACTACTAGGAGCAAGGACGCTACTAGGGGCTCCTGGCATCGCTACTAGTAACAAGAAGCTGTTCATCCTCCCAGCGGAGAGGCCCTGATGCCGACACCAACCCCACGGCGCTCGAAGACTGCGGAGTCGCCGAAGCCTCGCCGGCTTCAGCAGCATGTGACCATGGCTGTAAAGTACGTGTAAAGCAAAACATGTATTAGACAAGGAGGGATAAGGAAAAACGGGAAGTGAGATAGGACTGTGAAACGATGGGTGGGAAAAAGAACTGCGCCATCAGGAAAGAGCCTATATGCCACACCGCCTATCTCATCCGGTGCTGTCTCATAAATGTTTGAGATTGCAGGGTTTGAGGAGGTATTTGACATTAAGCCACACTGACACAGGACCTACAGTAGATGGACCAAATATTCAATCCACTTTCCCCCCAAAAAACTCAATGTTGACATTATTCCTGCAGACTAGGGCCGAATGGACGAAACTAATCAAACCCAGGTACCAAACAAATGATGAACTTGTAACATTGAGATTCGGGGTGCGTGGTTCATTCAGAAAGCATGATGTAGGGTTTGGGAAATTTGTCCATCTACTGTACGAGTATGCCACCAACATAGCATGTGGTAACTAGGGGATGAGATAGGAAAACAAGTGGTTAAATTCGAGAGCAACAACCTAGTTTTTCCAGTGGAAAAGCCCAGGCAGCGCGACTAGGTCATGAATCATGAAGCTTTCATCAGCCATATTTTTTCCCTGGGCATGGTATTCCATTTGGTTTAAAGCTATGTACTGATGGCAGGACGTCCACGCCTCCTATGTCATCCTACTGTGTACTAAGCGCTCTGGCCCACAACTCCTGTGTCCTAATGTCCTGTGTCAATAGCCCAGCGAATTCCAATGTCAATTAGACCTCAGTATTTATATATATATATATAGAGAGAGAGGGAGGGGAGGACAGAAAAGCGGGGCGGGGGGCGGGAGAGTGACACAGATCACCTATACTTATACCATCAAACATCACACACACATATAATAACACACACACATATATAATAGTTAATATATTATCGCATACGTTTACATACGTTTACATACATTTACATACGTATACACACATATACATACGTACACATACATATACATACGTATACATACATATACATACATATACGCACATACATACATTACATAACACATAACACATGACACATAACACAACACACAACAGTACATTACATTACATTACATTACATTACATTACATTACATTACATTA